TTTTTTTCCACCTGGACACACCAGGTGTGTTGATGATCATTGTTATTTGTAGTCTTAGTGAGTTGTGTATTCTTCCGTTGGTGTTTGTCGTGTTATGTTGTGGTGTTGGCTACCTCTTATTAATATACTAGTACAGATCCCGTGCGATGCACGGGGTGCACAAAATTAAGGCGATTTATCAAATCTTATAATTATATAAATGAATAAAGAAAAATGTACATAATATATATAGTACGTGACCTGTAATAGGCCAAAATGTGAACACGGGTAATGCACGGGGTGCACAATTTTAGGGTCATTTATTAGTACAAAGTCCGTGCAATGCACGGGTTTCACAATTTTCTAGTATGTGTAATACAAAGACATACCGTTGCACATGACAGAATCACTAAATGAGTTATTTCCACATAGCTTGCCCGTTAAGGGGTGATTATTTATAAATTGAATAGTAAAAAAACCAATTAAAACTCAAATTTAACTCAACTTTAATTCAACCCCACTATCATCAATATTATTAATATAATTAAATAATATCACCAATCATTCTTACACATCACATCAAATTTAATTCACTGTTCATCTACTCACATAACTCTAACTAACTACAACTTCCAATCATTTTTTCCCTACTTTACATCAAATCAACTTTAATTATTATATTTAAATATTATTTTAATATAGCAACTAACAACTAACCATTTTACATTTTTCAAAATTAACTATAGTTAAAAACAAATCAAATAAAAACCAATTCAATCTATAAACAATCACACCCTAAGTAGCTCCTGAACACGGGTGCACAATTTATAGTACGTACTATAAAATCAGAATAGATTTCCATACAATTAGATAATAAATAAAGCATTTTTTTTTTATTTTAGTAAAGATTTTACGTACTTTTTTTTTTACTTATCGGATGTTATGAAATTTATTTTTGTTAAACCGATTTTATGGAATATGATACAAATACAATTAGAGGATTGAACAAAATCAAAACAGATTTCTATACAATTAGATAATAAGAAGGAATTAGATAAGGGAAAAAAAGAAATTAGATAAAGAATTTTGAATATACCTTTTTTTAGTATAGATAAACTTTACGTACAAATTTTGACTTCACCGATTTTATGAGATTTGTTTTGACAAAATCAAAGACGAACACTGAAGACTGTTTCTATTAACATTTATAATGTGTATTTAATGTGTTTTTTTGGCAAAATATTCTTTTTAAGTGTGATATATAAATATTAAATACACTTAAAATATTTTATAACGTCTATAAAAGCATCTAAAATATTTAATATTATTCACAAATAATGTTTGAGCTACTTAAATTTTTGTAAACTACCCGTAAAGAAAATATGTCTAAAAATTATTCATTTAACCTCCATATATGTATATATATAGAGAGAGAGCAAATGTGTAAAAAAATTATACAAATAATATTTAAAAGTATCTAAAATATTAGTAATTAGACAGGTGAAATTTTTAGTAGTAATATTAGTAATTTTTTAAAAAATCTATATAGATAATGGATTTATAGTTATAGTTAGACTTTTATTTATTTACGTTTAAAGTTGTTACGATATATGAGGGATGTGATTTTTTTGACTGGTGGAGATAAAATTTTATAAGTTGGGTTATGAAATTTTCTTAAACCCGTGCATATCTATGCGATGAATTTTTAAGTTGGGTATATAGATTTAAAATTGTAAAAAAAGAAAAATCTTTCATAAATCATTTGATTTGGTATTTTCGGAGAGCTTCATTAATTTGAAAGTGTAAAATAAATAGATAAAAAAAAAAGTTACAACCAATTGTATGGAGAATTAAATTAAACCAATTTTGTAGGATGCATTAAATATTGATTAGATTTTATATGTAAAATAAAATAAAAAAAATAACTAGAATAATTTTAGGTGTTGCAATATTTTATATTTAAAAAAATTAAAAAATCTTCTTTTACGTATTCAATACCAACATTTTAGGAACTACATGGATATTTCTAAATTAATATTGTACTTAATATATTAGGAACTAATTAAATGATAATTTGATTTGCATATCAAAAATATTAGATTCATTAATTAAATGCTTGATAAAAATAGTAAATCATTAATTATAGTTGACTATTCTACATACTATATTTAGTAAATAGTATAGCTTTTAATATAAGTATAGATTTATAATTAGTAAATTTGCATTAATCATATCTGCTGATTATATAATATTATTATTACTAGTACAACGCTCGTGTATTACACGAGTGTTTGCTTTTTTTTTTTTTTTTTTTTTCTTAAAATCTAAAATTAATGAGAAAAAATAATTGAAAATTTAAATATCTTTTATAAAAATATATATATTATTATATATTTAGTATGACACTTTTTATTTGTGCAACTTACATGTGTTATATTATAATAATTTTTTAAACTTACAACATATAACTACATTAAATATAAATATATCAATTGAGAAATAATTTTATTTTTCTAATGAATTTTAATAACTATTATTATTTTTATTATTATAAAGATAAATATAATTTATTTATTTCATATATACAATATGGATGTTAAATCGAAGATCATCAAAAGATGATTAATTTGATATATTATATATGTAAAACCGATAAAAAATACAAAAGTTGTCAACTTCTAAAATACATTTATAATTCAATAGTTAATTGAAGGAAACAAATCAAAAGTCCGAGAATGTAAAATTACAAAGAAATAAATAATTATATTAGTACAAGTGATATTAAAATACCTAAGTTGGCTAAATAATATTTACGGAATGTCCAAACCTAAATTATTAATTATTAATATATCAATATTATTTGTCCAAACCTAATTACGAGTATTCGGGAATAATATATCGGAAGGATTATGTAACAAATAGAACCAAAATTTACCGAAATCTCCAAACA